CTAACTCTTATTATATATGCCTAGGACTCCTCTGGCCAGCCATAAGTTAACAGGCCTTTTTTTTTTCAGATATCCTAGATGATCTGAGAGACTGATTCTTAGGGCTTTGTGCAAGTAAGGCAAATGCAATGTACTTGATTGAATTACAACTCCTTTCACAAACAAATGTGATATACATTCCACAAGAAATCTACATCTTGTATGTTCCCCTATATCTGCTTATTTGTCTTAACTTTTCTTAGAGCATACACTGTTAGCAAAATCTGTCCACATCCTTAAGTTACACTGAATATGTAGTAGGAAAAAATACCATACATACAGTATAATTGTGCCATAACATGTTTATATGTGACCTAGGGCTATGCTACACAAACTGACAGGAAAAGACTTTGAAGTAATCTTATTAAGCCTTCTGGATGATGCTTTACGACTTGGTGACCCGGCGGGGGAAGAGGGAACCGGCCCACGGAAACGGAGGGGCAGCACATGCACGTGTGCAAGTCGAGGTGTGCGTGCATGTGCCAGCCAGCCGCTCATGCAGCCCGGTTCCAAACAGGCCAGCAGTGGGCTGTGGCCTGGGGGGGTTGGGGATCCCTTCTTTAGCACTTCAAGGACAGGTGATTCATTCATGCCAATATATTTTGTGAAGCACTTCACACAAATTTATTTAAAATTCTTAACTAAATTGAACATCAATCTATATAAATTCAGTTTCCAGATCTCATGGAAATTTTAGCATGGGTTTTTATCCTGTTGTTGTTTAAGTGCTGACAATTACATGTATTTTAAAAGAGACTAAATACAAAAATAATAAATTCCTCAATTATAGTGTATACAGATACTCTTAAGTTTGGGCTCTGATTAGATTGGGATTGTATTGCGTTTTTATTTACTGTAAGTCTCTTTCACATACTTACATGCAAGTTTGTGCATGTATATATGAGAAAGGGAGTTAAATATATACACAGACTTGAAATGGACAATTAAACCAGTTTTAACAAATAACAGATTTGTTATTTACAGGTAAACTATAAAACTGCAGGTAGTCTGTAGTTTGACTTTTGTTAAAATGGTATTGTTAAAGGATTTCGTTCTCCAGTTAATGTTTAGTTAGTGATTATTAATTCCTTTTGAAAAGATATGCACAAAACACTACTATTAAAATCAACTTAGATTGGTGATGAAGTTATTCATATTTATAACACTGGAACATTGTTCATCATTTAGATTATAAATGTAAAAGATGCACTGAGTGAAGGATAAATATGAAGTATGTTAATGATGAAAAAGGCAAACACATTGAAGATAATAAAATGCACTGTTATAGCATAGTCTTGCTAATTTAATAGGAACAGCTGTGTTTTTGTGTGGGTGTGTGTATGTGTGGATGTGTTTGGCATCATTAAAAGAGTGGATCTATTGTATTTCTAAAAGCTTTATGTCACAGTGAATTGTTAACCTCCAAGGTACCAATGTTTGATACCAGAATCTATGTTTGGCATAGATTTGTTGATATAATCAACAAATATATAATGAGCCCTGGTAACGCAATGGTTCAAATGCGGTATTGCAGACAAATTCTGCCCACAGCCTGAAGTTCGATCTTGATGGGACTCAAGGTTGATTCAGCCTTCTACCCTTTCAAGGTCTGTAAAATGACCCAAATTTTGGGTGGCAATATGCAAATAATGCTTCTACATTGTAAACTGCCCAGACAGTCCTGTGAAGTGCTATGGGGACAGTATATAACTATTTCTATTGCTATAATGGAATGAATATTTAATAAATCAAAGAAATCAGTTTTGGAACTTCTATTTGGAAGATGATGATGTACTATGGCATAAGAAAAATCTGAAGCAATGCAGAATTTGCATTGTGAAATTGTAAAATAAACTTTCTTTTTTTAGGTCAAGCATTAATGAGATAAGTCTTGCAATAGAATGTCTTTTTTCATGTTATTTTGATTATTATTGTTAAAAAAATAATGTTATTTATCTCCTGTATGTGAATGTAGTTAATAAGGAGATATATTCAATAGAAATTGCCAGAAAATTGTAACGCTTCTAAAGGTAATGCCAAATTCAAAGCCATCATTAAGAAAAATTATGAGACTGAGCTGCTAAAACAATTTTCTAGTAATATAAATAAGCTTTATTTTAAGGAGGTTTCAGACTGATATCTTTTTAAGGTCATAAGAATAAGAATCCCTATATTGTACCAGTTGATGAGACTTATTAAGCATAGTGTCAAATCCAAAATCAAAAGTATTATTAGAATGGCAGTAATAATTATAGTAAATGTACAGAACAATTTACAAAAATAAAATAAAAATATAGAACTACAAATCAGCAAAAAAATTAAAAATGCTGTAGATAATTCTCAGTTAATAGTGCTACTTGGAACTAAAATGTCCATCACTGAACAACGTGGTCATAAAGCACAATGTAATGTGGCCATGCCACTTTGTGGTTTTCAGTTACTGTTGTTAACTAAATTCCACAATGTCATTAAGTGTGACATCACATGGTCACATTTGCAATCTTTTGCCAGCTACCCCATTGAATTTGCTAGTAGGAAGCCAGAAATGAAGATCACAAATGGAAATCATATGACTGCAAGATGCTGCGATGTCGTAATTGTGAAGACCACTTGTTCTACTTATTCAGCGCCATTACTAGTTTTAACAGTAACTGAATGAGTGGTCATTAAGTGAGGACTATCTGCATTATAATTGTGCACATTTGGAAATATGCACAATACTGAGAATGTTAAAATTGAGAAGGTTCTTATACAAATAATACCATATTAATGGCATCATAATCAAGCCTATATTAGAGAGTACAAAGGCTGGATTTTACACAGCAAAAAAAAAAAAGTACTGGAGTCTAGTCGAATTCTAATAGCAGTAAGCCATTTGTTTATGTGTTAAATTTTATCTAGGTATTCAGGGTGATATCCAAGGCATATTCTCTATTTTCCACACAATAATTGTCCTGTAAAGGAAATTGAATGGAAAGACAGTTACTGATCCAAAGTCCTACAGTGAGCTTTCCTATGAAAGTAAATTTTAGTCTTCATATTCTGAATCTTTAACTTGTATGCTAGAACTGACTTGCAGCCAAAGTGAACAAGCAGACAAGCAGAAGTAGCGTGGAATATCTTGCTTGCTACCTACTAACCAACTAGGAGCAATCTGCATTGATAAAGCTTGTGAATTTAGATTCAAAAGCAGTTCCCTGTTGTTCACAAACTTCTATTATTTTTCTGTTCTGCTTTTAGTTACATCCAACTACCTATTGGCAAATTTAAATTAAGCGTATGATTATATTGTGGCTTTGCAAAGCATTTCCTGAATACAGGCTGGTCAGGCTTAGCCAAAGTTAAAACAAGAGTGCTGTGTTGAACAATTCTTACTATTTCACAAATACAATGTCTATTTGGAGGACGGAGTTGAGGGACATTTTATGAACTGAAAAAAATGCATACCCATTGTCTTTCAATGTGAGTTTTATGTGGTAGTCATACTCTTATGATCTGATCTAAATCTGATTTAGATTTTGTTCATACGTTCTTAAGGATTTATCAGTGAGCACAAACCAAAGCAGTTTAACAAATTAGTATGTAGATAGATGATCCATGGATTATTATTCCACTTACTCTTTTCTTCTTCAACATTACATTCCAAATAAATTTTGAAGCTTTTTGTGAAATAATAAATCACCAAACAGCTGCTTTATCAGCACCTGATCTTAATTATTTTAGTATCATTATGTTATACTAAAGGGCTATTGTTTTTGCATATATATCTGTAATTATGATTTTAATTACTTCCCACATCTATAACTTCTGCTAAATGATCAGGATTAAGAATGCCACAAGCAATTTTTGGGGGGTATATTCAAAATAATTTTAACTAGTCTGTTCACATGAATTTTATATTGCAAAATAATGAAAAATAAAACAGATTTTAGCCTGATTAAAAGAAAAATATACAGATGGTAAAGGTTGAACAATTCATCATTAAAGTTGGGAATAATTTAAATCAAACTTTCATTTGCAGATTTACAGGCTTTATTTTTAGTATTCATACATTGTTCATTTCTAAAAAAAATGTAGTTTTTTTTAGTTGCATGGCAATTAGGTGGTTATTTGGCAGTTAATATATTAATATATTAGCAGCTCCGGCAATGGGGAAAAAGTCATGATACATCGTGACATGTCACATGACGTGGCAAGTTTGACACCCCTACTTTATATAATTTTCTTTCTTTTCCATTTTTCTATTATCTTTTTGTGTGTGTATCTTTAGTTATTTTTCTTTCATTTTATCTTTTTCTCTTCTCTTTTTTGCCCTATTTTACTTTGTATTAGTCTTATTCTTGTGTTTAATATTTTCCAATTAATAAATTCATGTATTAATAAATATTTCCAAAGGGAAACAGAATGGTCACTTTGCATTCTCATTTCTTCTATTTCTGTTGCATACTTGTGACTAGGTAGAGCTCATTTTCATCTGAATTTCCCCCCTTCTTTTCATATTCCTAATGAAATGGAATTGTTCATTCTCTTAAGAAAAGAGAATTTAAATTACATTTGTTTGTTGATTATTACAAAATTAGTTTTGTAAACTTCTGACTTGAAAAAAGTCATAATATAGAGATGGACAAATGGCAAATCATTGTTAATAATCTTGCAAATGGAATCATCTGTGATAGAGCAAATCTCAAAACTCAGTTTCTGAATTAGTTATCATATCGCAAGTTTACAGATTGTGAGTATGCAGTATTGCTATATAAAATATTAAAAATTGGAAGCTTAAGCAGGAAACGTCCTGTGTTAAATGAGAACCTTCATTGCGTAATTAAGTAGTTCATGAAATATTATCAACAATCACATACATCTAAATTAGTGTCTATATAACTAAATCGAACAGAATAAGCAAATTGTTTGAAATTAAACTTATGAATGCTTACCTTTTTGTTTCCCTTACTTTTGTCTAGGCTTTCGAAAAATAAGTCTTGATGACCTCAGAAAGGCCTATATTGTGAAAGATGTTCAACAGTATATTCTTCATCGCTTGGATCAAGAAGAAGCCCTGAGACAACATCTCACAAAAGAAACTGCAGAAATGTTGAATCAGCTTCACATTAAAAGCAGTGGTTGCTTTCTGTACCTTGAGCGTGTCCTAGATGGAGTAGTAGAAAATTTCATTATGCTAAGAGAAATTCGTGATATCCCTGGAACGTTAAATGGACTCTATCTTTGGCTTTGTCAGAGACTTTTTGTGAGAAAACAGTTTGCAAAAGTCCAACCTATTCTGAATGTAATCCTTGCTGCTTGCAGACCAGTCACAACAACTGAATTGTTCCATGCAGTGTGGACCAAAAATATGGCATTGTCTGTGGAGGATTTCCAGCGCAAACTAGATGTTCTATCAAAAGTTCTTGTTGATGGTCTAGGAAACACAAAGATCCTTTTTCATTACAGTTTTGCAGAATGGTTGTTGGATGTAAAACATTGTACACAAAAATATTTATGCAATGCAGCAGAGGGACATCGAATGCTAGCAATGAGTTATACATGTCGAGCCAAGGATTTAGCACCATTGGAAGCACAAGAATTTGCTTTGCATTTAATAGATTCAAATTTACAATTGGAAACATCTGAGTTAGCTTTATGGATGATCTGGAATGGTACTCCTGTTAAAGATTCTTTGTTGACGTTGATCCCCAAAGAGCAGGAAGTTTTACAATTGCTAGTAAAAGCTGGTGCTCATGTTAATAGTGAAGACGACCGGACATCTTGCATTGTGCGACAAGCATTAGAAAGAGAAGATTCTATTCGAACTTTATTGGATAATGGTGCTTCAATAAATCAATGTGATTCAAATGGAAGAACATTGCTGGCCAATGCTGCCTACAGTGGCAATCTTGATGTAGTGAATTTGTTAGTTTCTAGAGGAGCAGATTTTGAAATTGAAGATACCCTTGGGCAGACAGCACTTACTTTAGCTGCACGGCAAGGGCACACCAAAGTTGTAAATTGTTTGATTGGATGTGGCGCTAACATAAATCATACTGACCATGATGGATGGACAGCATTGCGATCTGCAGCTTGGGGTGGACATACTGAGGTTGTTTCTGCACTTCTGTATGCTGGCGTAAAAGTGGACTGTGCAGATGCTGACAGTCGAACAGCTTTGAGAGCAGCAGCCTGGGGAGGACATGAAGATATTGTACTGAATTTGTTGCAACATGGGGCTGAGGTGAACAAAGCAGATAATGAAGGGAGAACTGCTTTAATTGCTGCAGCGTACATGGGGCATAAAGAAATTGTAGAGCATCTTCTAGACCATGGTGCAGAGGTAAATCATGAGGATGTGGATGGAAGGACTGCTCTCTCTGTTGCTGCTCTTTGTGTTCCTGCTAGCAAGGGACATGCTTCAGTTGTGAGCCTTTTAATAGACAGGGGAGCTGAGGTGGATCATTGTGACAAAGATGGAATGACTCCACTGCTAGTAGCAGCCTATGAAGGGCATGTAGATGTTGTTGATTTGCTTCTAGAAGGTGGAGCAGATGTAGATCATACTGACAACAATGGCCGCACTCCTCTTCTTGCTGCAGCGTCAATGGGCCATGCTTCAGTTGTAAATACTTTATTATTTTGGGGAGCAGCTGTGGATAGCATTGATAGTGAAGGACGGACAGTTCTTAGCATAGCATCTGCTCAAGGTAATGTTGAAGTTGTACGGACTCTGCTAGATAGAGGATTAGATGAAAACCATAGGGATGATGCAGGATGGACGCCTTTGCATATGGCTGCTTTTGAAGGTCACAGATTAATATGTGAAGCACTTATAGAACAAGGTGCTCGGACTAGTGAAATTGATAATGATGGACGTATACCATTCATATTGGCAGCCCAGGAGGGCCACTATGACTGTGTGCAGACTTTACTGGAAAATAAATCTAATATTGATCATAGAGGCTATGATGGGAGAAATGCACTCCGTGTTGCTGCTTTAGAAGGACACAGAGATATAGTTGAACTACTTTTCAGCCATGGAGCTGATGTGAACTATAAAGATGCTGATGGCCGGCCAACACTTTACATCCTGGCCTTAGAGAACCAGCTATCAATGGCTGAGTATTTCCTAGAAAATGGTGCAAATGTAGAAGCAAGTGATGCTGAAGGAAGGACGGCACTCCATGTTTCCTGCTGGCAGGGCCATGTGGAGATGGTACAGATGCTGATAACATACCATGCTGATGTAAATGCATCAGACAATGAGAAACGGTCAGCTTTACAGTCGGCAGCATGGCAGGGTCACGTCAAAGTAGTTCAGCTTTTGATTGAGCACAGCTCCTTAGTTGATCATACATGCAATCAAGGTGCTACTGCACTCTGCATTGCAGCCCAAGAAGGACATATTGATGTTGTGCGGATATTACTGGAAAATAGTGCTGATCCAAATCATGCAGATCAGTTTGGGCGCACAGCGATGCGTGTTGCTGCAAAGAACGGGCACACGCCAATAATTAAACTACTGGAAAAATATGGTGCTTCTAGTTTAAATGGATGCACGCCTTCCCCAATCCATACAATGGAGCAAAAACCTTTGCAATCAGTACCTTCAAAAATGCAATCCTTAACCATAAAATCAAACAGTTCAGGGAGCACTGGTGGGGGTGATGTACAAGCTGCTTTACGTGGTTTGTCAAATGGGCCATCTCATGCTTTTAGTTCACCCTCTGAATCTCCTGATTCAACAGTTGACCGACAGAAGTCCTCTTTATCTAATAATTCACTGAAAAGTTCAAAAAACTCTTCACTTCGTACAACTTCATCTACAGCAACTGCCCAAACAGTACCTATTGATAGTTTCCACAATATGTCCTTTACAGAACAAATACAGCAGCATTCACTGCCCCGCAGTAGAAGTAGACAGTCCATTGTTTCACCTTCTTCCACTACTCATTCTTTAAGCCAGAATCATAGTTCACCAAATAGTGAATTTGAATGGAGCCAAGTGAAACCCAGCCTAAAATCAACAAAACCAAACAAAACTGGGAAAACTGAGAACTCCAACAAATCCGGGTCTGCTGGGAAAAAAGTAAAACAAACCACTCCCTCACAACCAAAAGTTTTAGAATATGAAATGACTCAGTTTGATAAACAGATATCTGTTACCAAATGTGGCACTACTGTGCCTCTTAAAAATATGCCTGCTGATACACAGTGCAAAATTTTAGTCCCTTCAACCCAGCAAGAAGTTTGCCGGTCCCAACAGCAGTTTCTGATCCATCAACAAAGTGGAGAGCAGAAAAAGAGAAATGGAATAATGACAAATCCAAACTACCATCTTCAGAGCAATCAGGTTTTTCTTGGTAGAGTGTCTGTACCACGAACAGTCCAGGATCGAGGACATCAGGAGGTTTTGGAAGGCTATCCATCTGCAGAAACAGAATTTAGCCTTAAACAAGCCTTAAAGCTTCAAATTGAGGGAAATGACCCAAGCTTCAGTTACAAGAAAGAAACACCATTATAAAAGGTGAGCACCTTTTAGAGTTGTCCTATTCAAAGAGTTCTTAGTTAGGCATTGTTGCTGATTGGCAATCAAGAATGAGAATTGGTGATTTTCTATTGAACAATAGATTATAAACCATATAACTGTTAAATGGTCAGAGGCATTTTATGTACATTGCCTTAAACCACAACCATGTGGACATTAATAGACTCACAAAGTTTACTTTTATGGGACCTTGAAACAATTTCTGCTTGCCACTTCCCTTCATTAGCCAAATGGTGAATTTATGGATGCCCTATCAAAATAATTCTAATGCTCTGGCAAAAATTAAAACTAAAACTTAAATGAGATCATTAATATTGTTGCTTCTTTAGGTAATTTAATTATGTTTATGGCTGTCAGATGCTTTGATTAATTTTCTTCTAATTATTTAGAAATTAGCTTCACAATTATGTTGAAGTGAAATACCCAATTTTCTGTTGTTTTAAATGTAACTGATTATGCTTCAGATTTTGTTACTAAAATAAATTATAAAAAATTAGTTGAAACTGTATGAATAGCAAAACCAGTACAAATTACATGGATTGGTTATGAATAACTTTTCCAAACTAATCTTTTTTTAAATAGCCATTAATCCAGAGTTGAATGAAATGCCATGAACTTTGATATCAGTGTGATATTTTTCATGATCTATCATTTTTTTTTAAAACAAATTTTTATTGATTTTTAAAATAAACAGAAATATAATTATGGCATACAATAATAATAATAATAAAAACAAAAACAAACTGAAAAACCTCCTATTACATTATATCTTACTACCATTCTAGTATACCAAAATACATAAGAAATCCCTTTCCCCCCATCCCCCCCCCGGACTTCCCAGAACTAAATACAGGAGTAAATAAACAACCCCCATCTAACTAAAACAATCCAATTATAATACATACCAATATTAATTTATTTTAACTCCAAAACTCAAAATATAATTATCCATCTTCCCCAGATCCAAGTATCTAAAAATTAAACTTTACCGTTTCTACAAATAAAGAGTTAACTACTAATCTTATTTCTATTAATCATCCAAATATCTTAAAACCCATTAAAAACCATCTTTAACTTCCTCTAAAACAATATAAGTCCTTTAAAATAATACAATTATATATCATTAATATTTAAACTCTTTTTTGATCTCCAGTACATATCTTTTAATCTTAATGCTATTAATCATCCAAATATCTTAAAACCCATTAAAAACCATCTTTAAATTCCTCTAAGACAATATAAGTCCTTTAGAATATTACTATATATCGTTAATCATTTAAACTCTTTTTGATCTCAAATACATATCTTTTAAGTAAAATTTTCTTTCTTTTTTACAACAAATTTCAATAGTATAACCATCTACTCTCTTCTTTATCAAATACTTCGATCCTTTAACTCTTATTAATTCAAATAATATATATCCAAAAAATCAATTCCAAATCAAAATTTTTTAAAAAATATAAAACTTTCAAAACGTTCATATAAGATTATCATCAAGAAATTCTTCCATAGCCAGTCCTTGCTTCCATTCTTTTTTTTTTTCATTGCTGATCAACCTTCAAAGCCAGTGAATCTTCCACCTTTTTCATTAACAATTTGTAGCATGTTCGAAATTTCTACTGATAATAAACCCATGTGATTCCATTATAGCAAGATCTTCTGAGAACACAAGCAGCAACATCTCCAGCTGGTTTTCTCTGACGCACGACCCATTTCTATAAGCTTATTTTCCAAAATTTCATCAGGGAGGTACACCAGGACCATAACCGGATCTATTACAGCTTCCTTTCCCAGCTTTTCATGCTTATCCTTTTCATGATACCTTCAAAGCCAATGAATATTCCACCTTTTTCATTAACAGTTTTTAGCGTGTTCGAAATTTCTGCAGATATGATTCCATTCTAGCAAGATCTTCTAAAAACACAAGCAGCAACATCTCCAGCTGGTTTTCTCTGATGCACGACCCATTTCTATAAGCTTTTTTTTCCAAAATTTCATCAGGGAGGTACACCAGGACAACCGGATCTATTACAGCTTCCTTCCCCAGCTTTTCATGCTTATCATTTTCATAATCTCTACCATATAACATATCATTATAAGTTATTTCCATAATATCTTCTTCAACATCTTCACATAACTTATCCACCCGTTGCTCTATACAATCTGGAACTATAAAACTCATTTAGCCAGCAAAAAAGAAGCATGGATTTTTCTTTCTTTCTTTCACAATTCCGCAGCCATTTTAAAGCCATTCTTCAAACTTCTTTGAAAAACACTTCAATAATCCATAAAAATAATAAGTATCACCAACAAATAGACATTGCAAATTCTTTGCAACTAAAACTTTCCAAAAACCAAAAAAACCCCACAATATATCTCTATCCAGTTAGTAACCAGAAGAGAGTGAAAGTAAAAAGCGAAAGTTTTTTATCAGCTCCAAAGAAACGGCAAGCAGCCATTTTCTTCCCACTTTAAGTCCCCACCAAAAAGGAAGATGTTAGTTCAAAATCAAAATTCCACATAAGCCGAAACTACTCCAAACCTCCTGCTTAGTTCCGTCTGCTTGTAATTTAAATCCAAGTAGCTTTCAGTAGCAGAGGTGGGCGTTGCATCTGGCTTCGCTGCAAAAGAAAGGAGCGAAGGCGTCCTGGGGCGCGGAGGACGTCCAGACTCCGGCTGAGCTCGCACCCCCCAACCCCGATCAGAAAAAAAAACCGGGGTGAGAGGGAGCTCTAAGCCTATCCGGACTGCTCACCCCCCCTCTTCGCCCGAGGGACGGGGTTCCTAGCCAAGAGACAGCTGTTGCACGCTGTCTCTTCAGGCTTTGACGCGCTCCCAGGCGGGCGGCTAACAAAAGCCGCCATTGGTGCAGCCTAACACCACCAGAAGTCCTTTTCATGATCTATCATTGTTTTGTTATGAAGTTAGTTAAAAGAAGACTAAAGGATATATTTTGGTGGAGTCCCAGGTAATTGAAAAGATTGCATTATAGCCTGTAGAATGGTCATGCATTTTTCTGTAACAAAAATTTCAAATGATAGCCTTAGTACTTTTTGATCATGATTTATTGAAGAGTTAAGAAAAAATCTGCAAACACTGCAGTAGTTCTTTATTGCAATTTTGTGGCCACAGCATTATTTTTCTGAGATATGAAGCTGGATAGAATCACAGAACCAGGGGAGATATTGAAGGTCGCATACTATAAGTTTTGTGTATAATTTGTGCTCATGCATCATGCCCCTGATTTTATCATACATTTGAGAAGATACCAATGTTCATCTTTAGGAAAACCAGTCATCTAAATATATATGTATAAAATGAAGTATATGAAAAATATCATTGTATCTACATCATTTGCTAATATGAGAGGTTAGTAACCTTCTATGTGTTTACCATATGAAAGGAATTAAAATCTATATTGAAACTTCCAAGAGTCATAAGATTGCATATTTAAACTCACAGCGTGCTGAAAAAAAAGAAGACCAATTAGAATTAAGTCCCACATGTGAATAAATAAGTGTTATGTTAATCTGAGAATTTGGCACTTACGACCCCAAAATGATAACTTTGATCTATAGATTTACAATATATATATTTTATTTTATTCAATATGGATATCACCTAACTTCAATCAATCAATGACTGAAATGTATTCATTTAAGAATAAGCTATTTGTAAGAGTTATATTTTCATAGTTATATATATTAGCTTTCTTGTGACTTAGATTATACTTTTTCAAAGACAAGCTTTTCTTTAATCAAGAACTTTTTTCCAAACATAACAATATTGTGTTTTTAAAATATTACAAATTGGCCTTGTGTGTTTGCCCATGCAATCTTATCTCATATCTAAAATATTACAAAACCATAATAATTAAGTGATGTAATGAAATTCAAGGATGAGTGGAATTCAAGTTACAAAAGCTTTCATTTTGTTAAAAATAATTGACAGTTACAAATTGCATGTTAAATATTAATATAATCTTGTCAAAATATAATTGCCATATTGTTATGTTATCACCAGTACCATAATATCTGTAACATGTTGCTGTATCACCCTGTTCTGTTTCTTAATTCCTATGAGTAGCACTCAGTTTTGCAAGGAGGGGGGCAGGGGAAATTCTAAACTCCATGTCACTGAGATATGGTAAAGTGCTAAGAGCAAGTCTGACATGACAATGTTACTTGGATACAGTAGACTTCATGGTAGATTGTTGATCAAACTATGGATTTGATTTCAGACAATCCATTTTAAAGATCCTCAAAAATCAATGATAAACTGTTAAGATTTTTAGTCATTGCTATTTATATATCATTGAAAACATTATAAATCAGTTATTGATAGCATTAAGATTTTTGAGGTAGAATGTAAATTTTCATTTTATTTTGTTTTTGTTTTTTAGGCAGTTTTCAAAACACCAGGAACAAAAAGAAGAGGTTGCCAAGAATGGTTTGTCAGCTAGACTGGGATAAAAGCATTTCTTACTCATTAAACTACATTGAAAATTCTGAATGTGAACACTGCAGCACAGTTACCTTGATTTACTGCAATGTGCCTAAAAGTTAAGGCTGCCTTCTTAATGTAACCTTCTGTGCTTCAGAAATTGTATTTTGTGTACTTTATACTTAATACATAAAATAAGCACTTTCTTCCTTAATAACAGAACAAGATAATACCATATATTCCTCATACAACTGAAATTAGAAATGTAAGCTTCTTTTCAAAAAGCATCATCCGGGTAAAGATGCCATGGTGGCTTGTGCTGAAAGGCATTGCCTTATGTATTTATTTTATTTTAATATGGCAAAAAAATCTTTCAGCCAAAAAGATAAGCAGTATCTTTGACTACATAAAAGAATGAAACAACCTCACTTCATAAATATACATACATCTGGTTATTTCTTTTAATAAGCCTTTTAAACACCAGTTGAATATCATTTTTCTGTTTTATGCTTGCACCAGCAGCTTTGCAGCATGTGATTCCTAGTTAGACTTTAAGATGTCATAAGACTTCTTATA